TATTCACAGTTCAATTGTTTATGCACTATTTGTGTTTGATGTATTTTAGATTATTTTAGAAAGTTAGTGTTATTATTTCACTACTACTAACAAAAAAGTTTGGAATACTTCGGGATATTTCACATATCAAGCTTGCTAACGAAGCTACAAAATGACTAGAGTCATTGCGCGACCCAAAGTAACGAAATTTTCGAGCGGGGGCGCGCTTAATGGACTATCAAAAACATATTAGATCCTCGTTTGCAAGAACGAAAAAGGAGATAAAGCTCGGTACCGAGCCTTCGGAGATTTCCTGATTTTGACAGGAATCCACGGGATGCGGCAGTGCTGCTTTTTTACTCAAACAAGGCAGCATAACAGCGCTGATCGGAATCCGGTACTTCCTCCTTGTTCGCAAGGTCGCACGTAAATCTTCGGCAGAATCCAGGCTAGAAAACGGAGGATGAACGACACTTTCGCTCCCTGGCGCGATACTTATTCAAGCTGGGAGAAGAGCCGCAGGCTTTTCCCCGATCAAATTACCGAGCTGCTTTTTTCCACCGTTCTGGATACAGTAACGTCTTGCTGGAATAACTTCATCGTGCAGAATTCCGAAGCGAAATCCGGCAGAGTCATTCGAATTCATCTTCTCACGAGTAAATCGATTCGGGCGGAAGGGTCGTTTACACGACTGGATTATATAGGTAATATAAATTCCGAAGACTTTTAGAGATCCTATGGCAAGAAGTAAAGGAATTAAGGTGAAAGTTCTTAAATTAAAACACTTTTCGAATAAATACGATTCATACGAAGTGGCCATTACTATATACACTGAGAAATCCATTTAGTTGATTCAATTAATTTTTTGTTTGGATATGGACAACAAATTCCTAGTTGATGCAATAAGATAATTTAGTCGAAGCATTGACATCAAATAAACTTGTTTGTCAAAATGTTACGATAATCAAATGTTTTGATGCAACTAAATTATTTTATTGTGAAGGATTTGTTGCTCACATCTGAACAAGAAATTAATTGATTTAACTAAATGGATTTCGCAATGTATTGGAAAATATTTTTGTATAGCAGATTGTAGAGTGAACAGGATTTGTTAGTTTGATACAACGATCACGTTCTTCTTAATCCTGTTCATTATGATAACAAAAGCTGTTAGTAAATAAATATTTGTTTATTAACTTTTAGAAGATTAGTAAAATTGAATTTTACATAGATACATATTTTATCTTAACTTTCTTGTATCGCAAAGTATATAATAATAAAGAATGCATGTTAGATAAGATAAAGAACACATTGATTTTTCCTTTTGAAAATTGTCCTTATTGTTTTGAATTAATTAACACGATATACATTTAATTCAATGTACAGAATTAGCAATGCAAATGTTGCGTTTTCATTTTACGAATGGACACCCTGTATAATCCGTATATGGTGGTATCAAGTTGCTTTTGGTGTGTATGCAAATATAATTAATATTCCGATTTCGAGTTGTATTGAAACTGATGCAATGTATTAACGTAAATACCACTTGCAAACTTTGTTGCAATACGAAATGTATTGGTGACGTTAGTAGAATCGGATGATATCGATTATAATTTTGATCAACACTGGAAACACTGTAGTTCTCTTAATTAGTAGTCCTTCTGTAGTCTTTCCTGTATTATCTTGCTATCGATACAACTAAATTAGAATTATATTTGCTTATAGTTATAAAAAATGAATCAAAAGTAAAAGATAAAATAATATTAATTATAAAATAATTTTTGTATGTTGCAAATGTTCATGTCATTTAACGTAACTTATTTAACTAAACTTTTGTTCTTTAAAATTGTCCTTAAGTATTTAATTTTGATGTCGTAACATAATGAAAAAAATTCTTAAACACACAAAATATACTTAATCTTGCATTAGATTGTAATGATAATTATGTTTAAATAATATTATAACAATATATTAATTTTTAAATAAAAAAAATAGTCAGTCCTTTCGCATGTTTTCTTCGCAAAATATTCGACAGCACGTTTAATAAGCACTCTAAGCATTCGCGCGCTTTAAGTGTACATTAAATACACAACACATTAATGTTGAGAAAGGAAAACGCGAGTTTCCAGTTTTGGATATGCTGCAGACAGTTTAGCTAAGTCGGCAAAAAGACCGACGCAAATGTCTCAGTTAGCTTTGTCCAAACATTTGCCTTGCGATAACTCCATACACGCTGTCTACTTTCTGCAAGTCAAACCGCTGACTTTCTTAATGAATTACGACTGTATCTTTACATTTTGTTGCTCAGCTTTCTACTACGAAGAAACCTCGTAATGTCATACATAAAATCCATTTTGGAAGTAGAAATCTATATGTCCAAAAATGGTTAATAAAATTACAATTTTGCATTATTTTTATGAGAGTTACATATTATACACTCAGTATTAAATAAAATAACATTTTTTCTTTTATTAATTATATTACAAGATGAAAAATTTAATTTTTATTTTCATTTATTTTTTATTATGTCATAAAAACATGATTATTGCAAATTTTCTGATAATTTACAGTTAATTAAGCATTAAGTTAATTACTCGGAAATGTGTATGCGTCAAGATGACATGATAAAAGATCTAGTCACAAGAACTAAATTGCAATTTTTGCATTTAGTATTTACTATAATCTAATTATCATTATGGAATTATTTGAATGTTATTTTTGTATTATGCAACAACAAAGTCCCTTTTTATTCGTTTCTCCTTTAAAATTGGCTCGAATCAACGTACCGTCGAGGAATTTGCGCGAATTTTCGTAGTTGGTCTTCGTTAGATACGTAATCCGTATGCAATTGTTTCTCTCTAATAAGAACACTGTGTATCTAGTCATAAAACGAAAAGCTTGCGCGAGCAGCAAGTTAGTTGTCTGATGCTTTGTGCTCGTAGAGTAGCAGTCTCTCTCTTTTGAAAAAGCAGCAGCTACCATTCCGGCGCGTAATACTTCTCGGTGCACTAGTGCGGCGAAACGTAATGTAATGTCATTTCTTTATCTCTCATAGAATTCATAGTGCTTTTGTTTAGAAAAGAATACTTCTTTGGCTGAAGCATCATTAGTTTGAGAGGAATCCTTAATTAATGTACTTTCGCAACGACTTATATTGAGCAGCAACCTAAATGGAGAATGCATAATATACCTATATTACACGCAACTTCGGTGCAATTCTGGCTGACTCGTGCGAAGCTTATCATTGTTCCGTCGTATTAGTTGTAGTAATTATCGGGATGAAAATACGGTCATGGCGTTTGCAAGTTATCGGTGATGCGTGATCGAACATCCCCCGTCTCCACCCCTTCTTCCGGAAATAACTGGAACTCACGTTATTGAGTAAATGACGGTAAATAATTGCATCGTTAACAAGTAATCAAACCAGTTGTTCGCATTCCCACAATTAAGTACATTTTGCAACAGTTCAGCTACGAAAGAAAAAAGTATCCTCAAATCGAAGCGAGGTTTTATGAAAAGATACAATAATTATAAGTTTGCAGCCGTTATTGTAATGAATTATGCTCAATTGATCAGTGCTTCTGTGTTTGTATATTTTAAGAGGTCATGGTATTTAATGCAATAAAATTATCCGAAACTTTGAGAAACCTTGGCGCGCACAGCCACCATTGGTATTTAACTGAATTACGCAATATTGAGTCTTGTTATGTAGATAATGTCGATATATTCCCGGAAGTCTGTATACTTAGTGGACCAGGCATTGGCGGAAACTTCGCGAAATATCAAATCTTTGCGTGCTGCGGAAACTCCTGCTCTGGGTAAGTAGAAGATTGAGCGTCTTGATTAAATATTAAGTCTTAATAAAGTACATAGGAGAATTACGTTAAAATTTGCATGATATATGTTGCATAATGTATTATATTAGTTCGCTATTTTTGAACAAATCACGCACTGTACTTTTTTTTAAAAGTTTGTAAGTTCAACAGAGAGTTGCTGTATGCGCGCGAGTAATTGAACGTAATGCTCAGATATAATAGACCACGAGCTCGAGCACGAAGATAATACACGATAAAGCACGACAAATTTTTCAATTTTAATTAAGTGTCAGTCAAATCCGCAGTCTCAGTCAAAAATCCGAAAAGATAATAGTCGCCCTCCACCCAGCTTTGAGCAGGTTTAAACTCTTCAAACAGGCGTCATGCATATTCTATCAACGACCTAACCAGAAACCGCAGGCCAGCCTTGCGGTAATGTTAACCCAGCAGCTCTACTCGGATCTATATAGCCTTGACATGGAGGTATGCCCGGGATTGAGGATTTTGAAAAACGATGAAGCAACCGTAACCGCAACAGCAGCCTCTGTTCTATACCTTTGACGGGAATATATATTGTAAAATTCTCTTTTCCCCTCTAATATCTAGGCTCTATTTAGAAATCGCAACAAGAAAGTTATAAACCCTCGAGAGATAAGATGAGTTTTTTAACTTTTTAATTTTGTGTATCGGTAACGTACTCGTATGTACCGTTAGTGAGTTCAATATAGATATGTCAATTTAACGCTTAAAATAATAGGATAAAATCTTTTTTTTTTACATGAAAATTAATGAAATGTATCTTAATTTATTCGATAAAATAATACTGTGTTTGACGTCTACTGCTCTGACACTGAGTAATTAATAATGTTGCTTGGTTCCTTTCATGTCACAGCAATTTATTTGTAGTAATTTGCACATTCACCACAAATCATGTTGAGTTACAATTTTAAAATTAAATAGTAATTATATATTAATCTATCTCAAATATTGTAAGCAAAGAGTTTAGCGAGTAGATTTGATTTGTGTGAATGTGCATTTAGGTTTCCACTTATACTATATATATATATTTGAATTATAAGGTAAAAACAGTGTGCTCGAGCAAATCTTTTTCATAATGCTGTGAGACGCGGATTTGTTAACGTAATTAGCGAGTTAGGTTCAAAAGGAGGAGGGTCGTAAAATACTGGAATTACTGTTGTCACTCACCTCCTTGTCGCCCAGCTGATAAACTCTGCAGTGAAGAAAGGCGGTCTGACCGACTGCGGTAGTGACATTCCGTGGCACATTCGTTTCGAATGCCGGCACGCCGCTGACGTTGCGACTCCCATGAACAAGACTACCGCTCAAAACTCTCTGATCGCGAGTAAACGTACCTGCGTGACATATAACACAAATGTCAGCGTCAGAAATTAGCATGTCCACAACTGAATCGGGAAAGTCGTTAAGCGGTTTTAAGCTGAATGAAGCTTAAAGCATTTTACCGACTTGGAATTGCGATTAAACAAAAATATCATAATTAAGTAGCTTGTTTTTTCTTATATATTAATATTATATTTCTAACATTTTGAGTTAGTTAGACCTTTAAAGGAATAAAGATTAATAAAGATTATATTGTTTGTCTGTTTTTGGGTCAAGACCTATTTACAACAAGAGGGGAATGCAGTTTGGTGAGTCACGACAGTTTATAAAATTGATAAAGTAAAAAAAAGATGTATATTCTTGCTATGTGCGTAATTTAACGATAAATGTGGTTACGCATTCAACTTGTAATTACGTGGAATATACATAATGTTTTATTTTTGTAAAACTATAGCAGCAGACGGCTCTAGTTTTTAATTACATCTTATTATCTGAATTAACAATCATATTGTGAGGCTTTCTTTATCCTATAATATATAAGATAAATTCACAAATTTCATGATCGATAAATAGTATGTATATTTAATCAAATACAAATTATATTACTCTTACAAAAATTTAAATCAAAGTTACTAAATTTACGAGTCTTATCGTATTCCATGCACCCCTTTCACAGTATACTTTATATCGTTGAATAAAACGTAAGTCAAATAATATTTTTAAGTATTTCAAGCAAACATCCTAATATTTATTTGAGATCAATCAAAAAAATATTCTGTCATTTAGCGGTTTCGTGTTAGAGGATTTTCTGTTTATGTGTGCGACCTCAAGAAGATATTCTACAAAATAAAGAAATTTCATAAAATCATAAAGTGCTGGATTTAGGATTACAGTTCTCTTAATGCTAGAAGAATGTCTTGCATGTACTGACATGCACGCGTAGCTACAGTAACACGTATAATGACAAACTTCTTCTAACACTAATTAGTGTTACGCTTAAGTGTGCTGCTAGTATTTCGTATATTCTTTTATTTCGAAAGGCTATTCCAGTTATGATAATAGTATTTTCCACAGAGGAATTTATATTCGATCATATAATTCATGTATCCTCATTTTTATAAATGAATACTTGTTATAAATACACGCGCTTGATTCATGTAAGATTTTTTGCTTCGAGGAAATGCTAAAAGGAATTTTCCGCTTATCGGTAGAATATTTTTTTTTAATGATATTAAAAATTAATATTAAATATATACTTAGGAATTTATAATGTTAGCATATATATGTATATATATATATATATTTAAGAATGTATATCAATGGCTACATTTACACCATGCATTTAGGCCTGTAGGTTAAACAAAGACACCTATCGTCGCGGATTAAGCGCACGGTATAAACGTAGCCAATATATTAATATTATACAGGGTGAGGCATCTAAAATAGGCATAAATAACTCGCTTATTTTTGATGATACAAAGAAATGTAAAAATTTAGGAATCTATATATATCTAATAAAAATCTATATATCACTAAAATGCTAACACCTTTTTATATACAAAATCTGTAACTGCTTTCATAACTTACATTAAGTGAAACTTGTCTTTGTCATTATTAAAGCAGTTTCACTTATCTGTTTACCTTATTGTCAGAATCACAATAGATGCATATCAGACAATGCGTCTGGTATCCATTGTATCGAACGTTAGTGTTGACGTTATCGAGGCAAATGGTTAGATTTCGACGGATGCCGCGAGCGTCTACTTAGTCATCGATTGTTAGTGACGGAACTAGATAACCTTGCAAGTTTGTATTTGATCTGCAGCTAAGATCATACATTAATTTGTAGCACTCAGAGAACTGGAATAGGCGAACTTGTATGATCTGGCCCTTTATCCAGGTTGTTTTGTACAAGGATCAGTTCCAACAGAGTATGTTTTGCGAATGGAATGTTACGACGTGTTTGCGCAACCTGCAACGGTCATTTCACCGATATTAGCGTTAGATTGGTCGCTAATTACCATCGATAGTCACAGTAGCCATAACGACCATGTCGGGAATTCCGTGAAGGTATCCATTTAAGAAATTATCTTTGGTGCTGTTCTTATAATACCTATATACGTTTACCTATATACGTTACCTATATACGTTTCATCGTATAATTGTGGAATAAAATAGTGCTTCAATATTATAGATATTAATATTTTTTAATCAATTTTGTGGAAGCGAAATTCTGTTTGATTTTGGAGAACGTTTTGCCATATCGTAATAAAGTTTTTAAACTTTTATTGTAATTCATATAAATATATATATGTATATGTATATACATACATAGAATATGACATAAAGCAAACACACGTTTTTTGAACTGGTAATCCATTTCTATTTATCTTTAGAAAAAACGTTGTTTTAGACGCAATGTTTAATAAAAAATTCAGCTGCGTATGTGCAATGCTACGTCAGAACAAATATATAATATAATGAAAATATAAAGGTAGAGTTCAAAGTATCTCTGGAAATATTAAGAGTTATTTTATACTTTTTATGTACTTTCGGTCGCATAAATTGGCATAGAACTCAAAAAATATATTCAGAAATTGCATTATATTTAATTTCTTTTTACGGGATACTATGTGAACTTCAGCAGTTAACCCATGTACGGGAGCTGAACACATTTGAATAAGGTTTGAATTTTGTGCATAAAAAGTTCGTCATTGAAACAAATCGATTTCTTTACCGAATTTCTGAATTCTTATATTATTCCTTGGTATTCTGTACTTTTAAGTGATTACAATAAAATTGTATGAATTAAAGCATCGTAATGAGTATTAGAAAATCACACAATTATAATTATAATAGTGAAACCATATAAATTCGTTTTTTATTTTTTATAAACATTCTGTAAACCAATCTCTCGTTTTATAAATACAAAAGTAGCTTATCACTATATTATGTGTTTTACTTCTTGATATTATTTAAACGTCCTTATATTAGCGATTTGTTGAAAAATACAAATATTTTGTTTCAAAGAAGATCATAATATTGAAAGCGTATGAAACACATTAAACTTATTACAAGGATTTATGTAAAGGAGGGAAGATAAAGAATTCCATTAAGCACTGTATGCATTTGCAAGCTGCATTCGCGTTATGTAGTAGCTGTAGTTTATTTATGAAGGAGTAACTACCTAAGCCGGGATATGAATGCTGAGGCTTTTGACCTCGTTGGATATTAGTACTCTTTATAAGTGGTTCCAGACAACATTTGTATTCCAAGCACTCGTATGTGGCAGCTGAAAAGGTGTACGTGCTTCTCAGTTAAACAATTACAACGTTCTAAAAGAAGCTTTTGGCTTTTGTGACTTTATTGTTAGATTCCACAGACGATTAATTGTAAGCATGATTATATTCGAAATATCCTCTCTTTGGAATTCGGAAATATACTATTTTCAGTGTATTATCTAAACGTGACATAATAAAAAAAGTGAATAATTTTTATACTACACGAATTTATGATGAAGGTAGAAACGTGATATTTTTTATTTTACATTACAATTTACATACAATTTTTTAAATTTGAAATTTCGATGAATCTGTATTAATATAAAACACTTTTTAAATTATTTATATGGAATGTAATAATAAAGTTTAATCAATTTTTTATGTTCACTGTTCAGTCATAAATATCATTCAAATTTACGTAATATATTTTCATATATACATTTATGTATATATATATATATTTCATAGATAAAAAAATTTGAAATGTCGATATCGGTTGTGACATATTACTTTTTTCTTTTTTCGCTAGGTTATTAACGACAAATGAATCAATTTGTTTCGACGTACATACCATCCCGATCCATTTAATAGCAGATAGGCGTGTGCAATCGATACGAGTAACGGTCCAACGCTCGTGAAGATGCGCATGCAAGCGTCAGCGCGATTTCTCTTTAGGTGTGCCAGCGTAATTCGTATCAAGTTAACGAATTGTATTTCATCGAAAACCGATTGACTGTCGTTTCGCAGCGCGATGACAAAAGCATCATACTTTGCGACCCGCGTATCGGAACAGTTCGTGAATGAAACATCGACACGCGCGTGTGCTAATTCAATCGTAATCGGATACAAAAGGTCACGATCAGGAAGCAGTTCTGGAAATAGACCGACAGGAAATGAGAATTTTTCCATAACTGGGAAAATTCTCATTCCCTATTCCATCGCAAGATTATTATTGGAAGTCAAGTGGTATTGCGCTATTGAGAAAGAGAGAGAGAGAGAGAGAAAGAGACAGTGTAATATTATCCAAGATGTCAAATAATGAAATGCACTTCGATAATGGTCAATATTCAAAATATCAGTGGCACGTTATCGGTTTACAAAATCGATCTTCACAATGACACATCGACTAAATGCACCATACATATATTATGAATTTTATAAAACTTTGTCTGTTTTGTTTGAATTACTACAAACACATTATATTTCTTTACGAAAAGGATGATTTTGCTGAAGTATTAAAAAATTGAGCAAATACAAAAATTTGAAAATAATTTTGTTGAACCTTCAAAATAATTATATTGTATGCTTAAACCGGTTGTTAGGATATTAAAATTTTTTGGATTCCTCAACGTTATGTTTGAAATTTTTACATAATCGTTTTGATGTGATGTAACAAAATTATTTTCTTTTATTTATTACAGATCTGTATCTATACCTATAATTAAATTTTTAAACACTTCAACAAAATCGCGGCGTTTTCTCCGTGTGAGAATCCCGTTGTCAGTTAGTATTATAGAATTTTTTTTATAAATTTTGCAATTGTGTCACTCGTTGTATATTTTGATTAACCTGATGCAGTTTACAGTAAAGCGCAACCGTTTTGTACTAAAATAATTTGTCATCGTCGCGACGAGCATTTCCATATTCCACGACCGAGTTTTACAAGGATGCCACGGTGATTCGCGTTGATCAATAACGGGGGAATAATAAATAACGGACGAGCTTGTCGATAA